TCAAGGGAGGAAGAAGGCGTCGTCACCGAGAGAAGTCTAGTACGCTTCGTCTAGGGGCCGCTCGGTGGACTCGTGGCGCTGAGACTCGGGGTCGGGCTGGCCTCTGCTCGCAATTTATTTTTCTTATTCCTCGTTTAAGGTAGCTTTCGGAGGCGCGAACGTCCACGAGGCTTCCTCCCCAGAGACAACACTTGTGGAAGGAAAATCTGGGACATACGGGGGCGCGAACGAGGCGTGACGGCGAAGAAAAAAGTAGGCAAGTCTTAGAGAGAACAGAGCCAGAAGGGCCAAAGAAAACGAACCATGTGGTAACGGATGCGTATGGAAGCCCCCAAAGCCCAACTGCAAAGAGAGAGAGAAAAAAGGATACCCAGTTTGACAGCGCCACACTGGAGCTCCGTGATGTTCCTGCTTGCCGGCGCCTTGCAGATCCAGGACGGTCCACCACTTGGAGACGTGTAGTGTACCCAGAGTGTGTCACTCTTCTGACTTGAGGAGAGTGCTCGGGCGCGAGACAAGAGTCAATCCCGAGTCCCAAGTTTGGAAGCGAGACCGCAGCATTGGGTTTTTGCTGAGATGTGACCAAGTACGCGGTATCGGCTGCGAAAGGTCCCAAAGGAGACACACAAACTTGGAAAACTTGACAAGTTGACAGATGGAGAAGCTGCCGGGTGAGGGCATCCCGGCGCAGCCCAGTGGGTTGGGGAGCAACGAACTGCAAGGGGAAGTTTGCTTTTTTCCCCTTTCGTGTCTGCTTTCTGCCAGTCTGTCATCGGAAGAAATCCAAGCAGGTAGACAGACGGGTCCCGGTTGACAGCTAGGCAAACCTGGTTCTGGTTACGTCCGGCAGCAAAGAGTGCGGACCAAGAGCGGGCTTGAGCATGAAGATGGCAGACGGACGGTGGACCGGGGGTTTAGAAAAAGAAACGACGATCATCACGTTTGGCGTGCGTCGGACAACAAGGACCCAAGCCCGTTCGTCCCTATTTGCTCGGTTACCAGGAGATCCTTGAAGGAGGACAAACGGAATAGGAGAAAAGACCTTTGGAGCCTGGAGGTTGAGGAGAAAGCTGACGGCGCCCAGGACGCTGGGTGGCCCTGGCCAGGGATATGCGGTAGGGGTGCAGCGCGCACGGTGGCAGTATATGCAGCATGCAGCATACAGCGATGCGAAGCGATAGCGATGAGATTCGCTGTAGTTCCCAGTGGTGGATGGTGATGTGCAGCCAGGGTGCTCATATCACGGTCAGACCTGTGAGAGGCTGCGTTTGTTAGAAAGGTACTTGTAAAGTTGTCACTCCTCTCTTGCTATGATTGTCTTGTTGGAATATCTGGTGGAAGAGAGCAAAGTAGAAGCTGGAATTTCTTGGTTGGCGTTAGTTCCTGAAGTGTCTTGCCCTGGACCCACGGTGTGACCAATACACTGGGGCGGCAGCCTCTTGTGTCAGATGCTCAATGGAATGATATTAGATTCTTTTGGCGTTGTTGGTAATTGTTCGGCCTGCCTTGTAATTGCCTACATTGTTTCCCTCTGTAAATGGTCTTTCTTGATGTTGATCGGCCAAAGGTGTTGTCGACGTAATTTGACGGGTATATCCAAGATTGCCATGGGAAAACAGAGTACCGAAAGAGGTAATGATGCGACCGTTTTCATATAACGGGAACCCAGCTAGAAAAGAGAATGGTCGAGGATGAGTGGTGACTAAGAAACTAAGCAGGAACTAAGTCGATTCCGTGTCCGTCCGCAGGAATAGCAGGACATTTGTGGCTTGTTTTGGCTTCTCTCCGTCATCTCCCAGGCTGTCTTCCGTTTACAATTATGAGTCTTGCTCTACGGACATAAGATAAGGTACCTTGAAAGGCATGCAGAGAACGTCGGCCGTTTTCTCGGTTGATAATGTCTCACAACCGTGTTGTGTTTAATAACACACAATGAGCCTTCATTTCATTTGCAATCTTGGGTTCTGTACACAATGCCAGTCAAAATCATCGCCAAATGAGCGAGATTGAAATGATAGAAGCAATGCTGGCTTCGGCATGTTCCCGCCGACCTAGACTGCTCATGTTCTGAGAGGCTTACCTTACCTAAGGTCGATGGACAGGGGAAGAGTCTCTCACTAACAGTCACTAACAGAGACGATTCACAAACATCTCACAATCCAAAACCCGGCCGTCCCAACGCCGGCAACGGGCTCAAGCGCTAGTTCCTCCTCCCTAGTCCTGAATTCCTGCATCTTTCAGGCCCACCACCAGCACGAAAAAGGCGCGAGGTGCCCGAGAGTGACGTGACTTGTCACCTCGAGCCTCTCACTCACTCATTCTTCACTCACAACTTGTGACTTTCACTTGACCCAAGTGCAGGGAGTGAGTCTCAGCGCATCTGGCATGAAGGAAGCTTATCGGCTTATGCAGCGCACAAACCGCATCGGGCTGATATTTTGGGTCGGGGGGTTACATTCATTAGTTCCGTGGGCTCTTGTAGATCTCATCCGACGTGTCGACTATCTATCTGTCTATGGAAAGGAATGCGAAGCTACTGAAGATATTTACACTCTCATACACTCACACACACACACAGCCTATGCTTGGCTCACAAATTCTGCAATGCACGCACATTTCAGCTCTTTGCATCTTCGTCAACTCTTCCCCCCTGCCTCAATACAACCCTCGGTGCATTCATAGCTTGGTGGCCCATGCACTGCTGAAGTCCCCTTTCGTTGCCCTCTCCCGATCTTCCCCCTTGCTCGCGGCTATGAATAATGCATCGGATCGCTGGGTAACCATGCACATGTCCTTGACTTCGTAACCCCTGCCCGGCATCCAGCTCTTCACTGCACCGCCAATGATCCATGCACAACTTACATCCCGCTCGCTAAACTTATCCCAATGATCTCCGTGGAGCTTCCCCCCCTCCCCCTTCCCGTCCGTCCAGCCGGACGCATCCCCCGTGAGGGATCCTCCCTGCCTCCGATTCCCGAGGCCTGTCGAGCCCTGTTTGGCTGTTCCCACTCTATTCAACTCCATCCCTCCACATCGCTCCAAAAGCTCGGCTTCCTTCGCGCACTCTTTTACCTGCTTGCTGTCTCCCTTTCCTCCCTTTGGACCCTTTCCCATAGGTAATGCTAACCAAACCAAAGATCCGGCCTATCGTTACCGACGACAACCTAAGTACCTTATTATCGAAGAAAGTTAATTCTTTCTAAGTCATAAGTATAAGAATATAATTTTAATAAAACAGTATAGTACCCACCTAGTACTTAAATTAAAATACTTTTTTAAGCTCGCTATAAAAAAAAGATAACTATATTACTAACTACTTACTATTAAAGTTCGTAACGCTATAGCTTTAACTATAATAACTTTATTTATAATAAGTAAAAAGTTTAATTATAAGTCCCTTAAAAGCCTCTCTTTAAGGGTTATAAGAGCTTCTAAGTTAAGTTAAAATACTTACTAAAATACTAATAACTAAACTAACCCTACGATAATAACTTTAATAAAAAAATTAAAAAACGAACTAAGAAATAATGCTAAAATCCTTATTAATGTTAAGTACGATTTATAAAACGTAGTAACGCGGTTATAAAATATTAGTAATATATTTTATATTAAAAAGACTATTATTAATATTAACGAGATAAATAGGGCCGTATTAATATAATACCTCGGCTTTTTTTTATAGCTTAAGAATAATCGCTTTAAATAGTATTAAAAATTTATTAAAAAGCTTTTTTAAATACTTTAGTATATTTATTACTATTTTTATAATAATAAAACTCCTAATACCTATATATAAAAGTAAGTTACCTACTTCTAAATAATAATACTAGCTTATTAATAAGCTATTAAAACTACGATTTTAATAATCCCTTAAGGGAGAGGGTAGAATAGAAGAAAGGATAAGTAACTTATAAAAAGGGTTAAGGTTAAATAGTGCGGAATTCGAGGGCAGGGTAGCGTCTATATATACTACGGCAATCCTCTAGTAATGCAAAACGATGGAGTTAAACAGTGTACCGACGATAACCGCATGATCGAATCGCCCTCCCGACAAGACCCCGTACCGGATCGTGATGCTACTGTACGGTGACGACGGCAAGGTAGTATTCCGCAAAGAGACCCCCAGTCGCCGGGGACGCCACGGCCTTTCGGCCTCGGCCTCGACCTCGACCTGAACTCTCGGCTCCATCTCCCTCACTCTCCCTTGCGCGGCGAACAGACCATTTTCTTCTATCTCTCTTTCCCCCGTCCACCATCCTCATCACACACACACATCACATTCACGACACATATCACACATCACCATCTTCAACTCCAGGCAAAGCCTAGAGTTTTTCCTAGCTTTCCTACGCTCTACGCTCTAGCCCTCCTCAGTTCCTAGTCATTCCTTTACGCCCCCTCCTTCCCCATCTTCCATCCCCCGGTCCGCTCAACAATCCCGCTTGACCCCTCTGTCTTACCTCCCATCCCTCATCCGCAACACAGGCCGCTCTGCAACCCTTTCTTTCACTCTCTCCGCCTGCGCAAGAGCCGAAACATTTGTCCCAGAAACAAGAAACGCCCCATGTCTGCGCCGTGCCGAACTTGTCCGACCCAAGATTCAAGACTTACGAGATCCAGCCATGGGCCGGGCAAAAAGCACATACCTTGATCTTCCCAGCCCAGCATCGCCTACCCAACAGAGACACCTAAAAGGGGGACCGTCGTCAGGGATCTTGTTGCCAGCTTTTGCTGAGTTGGTGCAAGCTACGGTGAAGCTGCCTTTGGAATGGTTCGCACAGCCAGACAGGGGACACCCCGTCCTCCCTTTCTATACAAGTCCATCCCATCCAGCCCGAAAAGAATTGTGTAACTGCCCGTCAAAACCTTCAGATGAACGAATGACACATGTCTCCTCTCTCCACAAAATCATTCAACCCGAGGTGCCTGACCTTGCTTGACATCCACCGTGCCATCCTAGTCGCTCATCCTCCTCGTCCTCCACATCCTTTTCGTCTGGGCTACACCAAGGTATTAAGTATTGGTAGGCACCAGCAAACTCTGCCTGTGTCTTTGGAGTACGGACTACGGAATACGTTCCACACAAAATGTTTCTCTCTTCTTCCTTGCCCAATCTGAATCACAAACATCTGAATCATATTCTTAGTTACGCTGAGAGTCAGACACAATATCTCGCCCTCCAAGTTCTAGGCTCCCGCAAACCAAGATCTCGCTCCTTCTTTCCAAGCCTTCCCACCATGGTCCATCTATCAAATTGTGAAAAAGAAAGCAAACTCTCCACGGAGGCTTGACTAACAGAGAGACGGTGCCCCGAGCAACCGAATCTTGACTCGGCCGTCCCCTCCTTCTCCTCCAAGTTCTCGGCTCGCCTATCCCTCCCAGGGGAGTAAGGCGTGTCAGGCTCACCCAAACGGGCGGAAGAGTGCTCACATATTGTTTATTCCAAGCCCCCCCGATCTATCACTCGTCGCCTCTCGTAAAAAGACAGAATTATAAGCCACACAAGCAGCCAAAGAGGGGAAAAGCCATGTGGTTTTCCCGCTACCGAGCCACGTTTGCTTTGCTTTGCTACGCTATGCTTCTCTTTTGCCTCGCCTCGCCGTTTGTTCCTTTCTTTCCACGCAAGTAGTCTCTCCTCTTTTTTTCCACAAACCTCGCCAGAACGGAGTTGACAAAAGTACAAATCTTCGGCCGGCACTCGGACACACACAAGAGTACTTACACGACCCCCTCCATCTATCACCAAGCACCGCCAAGACCATCCAGTCCACAAAGTAAGCCAACCACACATCTAGAAACCACAACTCCGAGACGACGGCCATCGCAGGATTACCCATCTTCCGGGATGGACTGGCGCAAGTATCGTCGCAGTATATACGATAGCTTTCGCGCCCAAGCCCGCCCGCCGCCCGCCGCCGCCGACCGCCCGTCCGCCAGCCAGCCCATCCGGCACCGAGCAAACCTCCCTTCTTACTAACGTAGCCCTCCACCAAGACCTAGAAGACACACCCGCCACACCTGTCTCCTCGTCAAAACGTCCGTCCGAGATCCGCCTTAAGAAAAAAACGGCTTTTCCGGTGATGGTCCCGTCTCACCAGCAGCGTCCCGTCACAACCCCCCCGGGAAAACATACGGGTATCCCATCCGTATCGTCCGTGTCTCGTGTCGGCTAACCGCGTCAAGCTAAAAGGGCTCACAAAGTCAAAAGGCAAGCGTGACAACTCACGCCATCATCATACGAACAAGTAAACCCCAAGCGAGAACTTCAAATCTTGTCGAATTCGACCAAAACTAAGGTGATCGACGATGATGACACTACACTGAAACTTTCCTCAACTTTCCATTCCCCCAACCTCCTCCTCCTCCTCTTCCTCCTTCTCGAAACCACAAAACTTCGAAAAGGAAATATCAAACGCCAAAACGGCGAGGCTTCTAAACGCGAGGACAGCCTAGCAGCTAGCCAGTTTAAAGTTTTCTTCTTCTTCTTCACAGTCTAGGCTCTCCTCCGAGTTCGTCTCTCTCTCTCTCTCTGCCCTGCTTACACTTAAACCACGCTTGCTCACTAGCTCTTTTCTCTCCTCTCCTCTCCAACACATCACATGCTCTCCCCAATCATCATCACTCTCGCTGTTTCTAAAAGTGTCCAAGCCACCCGAACACACGCGACGCGAAGAGCGCGACGACGCCTTGTTTCCTTGATCTAACCTGAATCCCCCCCCCCCCCCCCCCCCCCCCCCCCCCCCCCCCCCCCCCCCCCCCCCCCCCCCCCCCCCCCCCCCTTTTTTTAAAAGGGTCCCACCCCCCCCAACCCCCCCGCCCCGGAAGGCGCGCCGCCCCCCTTTTTTCTTTTTCTAACCCCAACCCCCCCCCCCCCCCCCCAAGAAGGCGCCACGCGCCGTCGCCTCTACGATCCCCCTGCCATGTCTTGGGTTCCAACAGGAACCTGCTCCGTACGGGACTCTGGAGTAGGTATTAGTTTTGCCTTCGAGACGCCGTGATGGAAGTGACTAAATTGAAAAGAAAGAAAAAAAGACTGAGATCCATGCAAATAACTAAAATAACAGCCAACGTTCCATCTAAGAGACTCGGTGAGTCGGTAAGCCCTCTGCTGGTTTCCTCTTATCCCCCAACCGTGACAATTTGTCTAGAGAGTTTTCCGAGGAACTCGCGTGCGCGATCACATACTGTACACACGCCGTCGTCATCCCGCCGACGCTTGTGAAGAACAGAAATTTTTTAGGAGCCAAACTACGGGAGAGCGGGATGCTATCCCCGGCCCCTGCATAAGTGGCCGCCTCACCAAGTTGATGAAGTCCCGCTCTTTCTCACCAACTCTCAACGCGATACGATGTCATGTCACTTTCCTGCCCATTTTTCCTCTTCCTAAGATAGTCAAGAGGCACGCGCGTTGAATGATAAATGTGCCTCATACGGACGGCACATCATTGTTCGGCCTACCTAAACCTGATGCCGGTCACCAGGGCTCGCCTCGCTTTCCTCCGCCGCCTCTCTTTGCCCCAAAGCTGCTTTTCCTAGCTGCTTTCTAGCTTTCCCCCTAATGCATCCTTGCCCTGAGGAGCCAAATGTCCGTGCCAAAGAGCTCTTTTTCTCTCCTCATGGCCAGACCAAAAGATAGAATTCCCTAGAGGCAAGCAAACCTTGTTGCCGTCACAAGATGATGCCCAATGTTTCCCCTTGCTTCAAGAAACCTATAAACGCCAGGAGCTCATATGTCCCTTGTCTCCGTGATGCAAAAACCCTTGTTGTGCCCAATTCAGGCAGCTGTATCGAGTCTACTCTAACAAAAAATGGAAAAAGAATTGTCGCGTCGCAATTCCGGTAGGTTGGCCTAACGTTTGTGAGGCTTTCTCTGAATGAAGGGATCGGCCTTCTGCTTCTTCCTGTGGATGACTGGTCCGTTTGGTCCACCCTGTCCAGGAGGCTAAGGTTTGTGTTAGCCTCGTTCAGAAGTTCAGGGTCTCTTAGCTGACTTACTCTCTGTGGCAAATTACGGTTCTGCGGAAGTGAAGAGTTGGTAGGCAACGTCCTCGAAGACGATGCCGTCGTCTCCATCGCCGGCGGTCGTGCAGCTGGTGTCAGACCGAGGGCTACCATGGCAGAAGGGTCCTTCGCCGGCTTCGGTGCCTTGGGCTCCTTGGCCTGGATCATGGCTTTGGGCCCCGTCGGTGGCGGTCTGTTGGGCAGCCGGTTCTGTTCGGTCGCCATCTATAATTGTTGTGTTAGGAATTGCTGGGGAAGATTCTCTGCTATTATCATTGCTCGTGTCGTCACATACCCTCTTTGCGCCACGCTGTCCTTCATTGGCATCAGATGGTCTCTTCTTGGACTCTTGCTTCGCCGTAGATGATTGGATAATTGGTGGCCGATCCGAGTTTCGGGCGGCAGAATGGTGTGCGTCGCCTCGGTTGTTTCCCTCCCAGGAGCCTGATCGACGCTCCGGGACGGGGTAGTTTGTCGGTGGTTGCTGGGCCGGCTGAGACGGCTTTCGGGGCTGCGCCGTGGGCGCCACATCTGCCAAGTCCACGTCTTTGATCTGAAGCTGGTCCACTATCTTAGCATCAAAGTCATTCTTCTGCGCGGGTTTCGGCGGCGACGGGGGCAACGCCTGTAGAACGCTCGGCTTCTGCAGCATTGACATGACGTCTCCCTTGGTGTAGAGTGATCTTTGCTTGGCGTTGTCGATGAGCTTATTCCAGAACTCTCCCTGCACCAGGGCTCTAGAATCTCCCAAAATCCACAGAGAGGATTTAGCACGGGTGAGACCGACGTTCATACGTCTAATATCCTTGACGAAACCAATACCGCCGGTAGGATCAGCTCGGACGCAAGAGAAGATGATAATCTCGCACTCTCGACCCTGGAAGGCATCCGTGGTATTGAACTCAATGTCCTCGGTGATCGACTCTCCGTAACGACGCGCGAACTGCCACTTCAGCTCTTGCAACTGAGCTTTATACGGCGTAATGATGCCAATCTTGCCGCGCACATCGTAGTTTCGTCCGAAATCCGTCTTGAACCGCTCGTAAAGCTGCATGGCAACCTTCAACTCGGAGTGGTTGACCAAAGAGCGACCCTTGCTGCCCTTTGACTGGGTACCCTCGACATCGAAGAACCGGTAGGGGCCAAGGAGGGCGCTTGCGTGCCAAGGCTGGCGACGGAGTGCGCTCATATCTTCTCCGTCCACAAGCTTGCCTTCGTAGAATTCCAAGCTGGGGAACAAGCTGATCTCGGGGTGCATACGGTATTGGCGGTCGAGGAGATGGACATAGTCGGGATGATTTTGCTGCATTCGGACGAACAGACTCTGGTCGTATCCAAATCTAGCGGCGGATTGAGAAAGCACAGTGGGTGGCAGCTGCTTCGGGTCACCGACGAGGATACACTTGGTGCAACCGTACTTCAACGGAATCAGTGCGCTGAGCTCAACACACTGCGCTGCCTCGTCGATGATGACCGTCTCGAATTCGACGTTGAGGTTCTTGAACATCTCGTGACCACTACCGCTGAGCGTGGCGCAGAGAACCTGGGCTCCATCAAGAATCTCTTGCTGAATTTGCCGGCGTCGAATCTCGGCTTCACGACTGACTGTGTTGCCGCTCGTCTTGTCATCGTCAATCTTGGCTCCAATGTTAATCTGAGCACGCTTCAACTGATCGAAAGCTCGCTGCAGGGCTAGCGAAAGATTGCGGTCACCGTTCTTGCGCGCCTCGTCCAGTTTGGGTCGGAGCTCCGCCAGTTCGTCTCTGATTTTGGCCGCGTCGTTATGCATCTTGTCGCGTTCCTCCTTGGCTTTGTTCTGCGTGGTGTCTCCCTCGAGTTTCTTCTTGACCAACTCATCGAGAGTGACGTCTCGGACGGCGGCGTTGATTGCATCGCTTCTTCCCAGACGAAGCACATTGATCTTGTGGAAAGACCCGGTCATCGTCTTGACGCCCTGCTTCAGACGCAACACCAGCTCGTCTACAGCGGCGTTACTGGGAGCGCATACCAGAAGCTTCTTCGGCATGGCGGCTTGGCCCTGAGTAGGAAGCTTGGGCTTGATAGCCGTTCCAGGGGGTTGGATGTTGCCGGTGAGCAGCGAGCCGACCATGGCCACGATTGTCTTCGT